TTCCCTCCCCCCCTTGACGATCTTTTTTTTCATTATTAGTAGAGACAAAGTGTTTCCTTCTGGAAAGGAAAATAAAAACTGGAAAAACAAAAAAAAAAAAAATTTAGATGATGTTACGAATTTTTTTTTTTTAATTTTTTTATAATTATTTGTTTAATTTATTTATTACTATTACTATTATTATTATTATTATTATTATTATTATTATTATATAAAATTTTTTTTCATCGGCTTGAACCTATTTATTATTATTATTATTCTTTTTTTTTTTAATATGTAATATATATAAATGACGCACTCTGGAAAAAAAACTACATATGATGCGTTTGATATAATAATAATAATAATAACGATTAGGATAATAATAATAATGATAATAGTGATAGTGAAATTACGTTGAGAAGTTTTTCCAAAACGGTTCAAGCCAAATTATTATTATTATTATTATCATAGGTAAATTTTTGTTATTTTTTTTTTTTTTTACATACGAAATATAATAATAAAAGAAGAAAAATGCGAGAGAAAAAAAAAAAAAGATGATCACGTGATGAAAGAAGACGGTTATAACTTTAATTATTATTATTATTATTATTATCCCTTCGGACGCCATTTTTTTTTTCTATTTTTTTCTTTTTTTTTTCCCACTCGTTCGGTGCGGTTTGGGGAAAAGAAAAAAGAAAAACGCCCTGGTTAATAAAAATGAATGAAAATTGTTTGTTTGTTTGTTTGGTTGTTTGTTCGTTCACGAAGGTTGTCGTTGAGTTTTCTTATCGACAAACGCAAACGCGTGGAAATTTGAAAAAAAAATTTTTTTTTTTTTTTTTTTTTTACATCAACGACGGCTCGTCCTTGAGAGAAGTGATTGAGATGGGGAAGGAGGGGAGGGGGAGGAGGCAGGAGGAAGAGAAGGGTAAGGGTAAATTTGTTTGACCTTGAAAAATTTTCTCCAGCCTTATTGTTTACGTACGTCGTCGCATGACGTCATCATATATAAATTTTTGTTTTTGTTTTTTTTTTGTCGTCGTAACCCAATTTTAAAAAAGTGAAACAAACGAAGAAACAAACAAACAAACAAGGAGTTTTTTTTTTCCGGATAGTAACATGGAAAAGTTTTTTGTTTTTTTTTTTTTTAATCCGTAATTTATCGAAAAACAAGGTCGAAAAATTTACGTTCCCTGGAATTTATCATTATTATCATCATCATTATTATTATTATTATCATTATTAATTTAATAATTTAGTCGGGTTTGCATGGAAAATTTTTTCTGGTTTTTTTTTCTGTTTTTTTTTTTTTTTTTTTGCAAATTAAGTTTTCCTCTTGCCCATCGAGAGTAGTTTATTCGATGAATCGAATTTTAATACATAAAACTCGAATTACCTGTACTCGAAATAATAATAATAATGATGATGTGATGATGATAATGATAATGATTTGCGTCATTGGTGCGTAGTTTTTTTTTTTTTTTTTTTTGCGTGGTTTTTTGTAAACGCGATGTGATTTTTTTTTTTTTTTAAAGAATTTAAAATACTGGAAACTCATTTATTATTATTATTATTATTATTATTTTCACTATTGAATGAAACTTATTATTATTATTATTATTTATTTGTGATGATGATGATGATTTTTTTTTTTTTTAAATATTAATGATAATATTTTATGTGTACATATATATATTTCTCACGTATTGTTTGTTATATAACAGCGAGAAACGAATAGAAAATTTGTTTTTATTTAGTTTTCAATTTAAAAAAAATTTTATTTTATTTATTTATTTGTTCCTTCCTTTTCTTTTCTTATTAAATGATGATGGTGAGGGTGGTGGTGGTTCTGCTGTTCTTAACGATGGTGATGCTGTTGTTGTGGCTTTCGTTGATGATGATGATGATGATGTTATTGTGGCTGTTGTTGATTATGATAATGGTAGTGGTGACGATGATGGTGGTGGTGGTGGTGGTGGTGGTGATGGTTATACTGTTGTTGATGATGGTTCTGCTGTTGTTGTTGCTGTTGATGATGATGATGATGATGATGGGGATGGTGGTAGTGTTGATGATGATAATTTTTTTTATTTTTTTGTATTTCTCGAATTAAACAAACAAAACAAACGATGGCGATGACGTCAACGACGACAATAATTTTTATCATTATCCGTAAAATTATCACAAATTAAAAATGAAAAAATAATAATAATAATAATAATAAAACCGTTCGATAGTTCATAACCTAAACATAAAATTATTATTATTATTATTATTATTATTATCATAATCGGCATTATTATTATTATTATTTATTTATTTATTTATTAACGTTTTTCAACTTTTTTTTATTTTATTTTCATTTAATCGTTATCGCTTTTCGTCAAAAAAAAAAAAAAAATTTATTACTTTTTTATAATGGTAATATTGAGAGAACAACAACAGCAAACGCAAAAACAACAACAACAACAACAATAATAATAATAATAATAATAATAATAATAATAATAATAATGAA